AGGGACTACCTGGAAAAGCTGGATGTGTACAAGTCCAAGGGGTTGGATGGCATGCACCTAGGGGTGTTGAGGGAGTTAGCTGATGTGATTGCAGAGCCATTGGCCATCATCTTTGAAAACTCAGAGCAATCAGGAGAGGTCCCAGATGATTGGAAAAGGGGAAACATAATGCCAAGGCTGACCCGTCCTAGCCTGCGAAACCTGCTGCTGCAGGGGGCCCCACAGCTAAGCTCGCCACACCCCCCCCCTGCTGCCGCCGGCTTCATATTCAGCCGCTCACCTTCCCCCTCCCTTCCGCTGCTGCTGCTGGCTTCACATCTGGCTGCTCGCCACCCCTCCCATCCCTGCCGCCACTGCTGCCGCCGCTTCTTCAGCTGCTCACCTCCTCCCCCCCCCCCCGCCCCTGCCAGCTTCTTCAGGGCAGGGGGCCCCAAAACTATTTCTTGCAGGGGTGCCCAAAAAATGTGGGCCAGCCCTGCATAGTGCCCATATATAAGCAAGGGGAAAAGGAGGATCCAAGGAACTACAGACCAGTTGGCCTCACCTCAGTCTCTGGAAAAATCATGGAGCAGATCCTCAAGTAATCCATTTCTAAGCACTTGGAGGAGAAAAAGGTGATTAGGAATAGTCAGCATGAATTCACCAAGGGCAAATCATGCCTCACCAACCTGATTGCCTTCTATAATGAGATGTCTGGCTCTGTGGATGCAGGGAGACCAGTGGATGTGGTGTATCTTGATTTTAGCAAGGCTTTTGATATGGTCTCCCACAATGTTCTCCCAGGCAAGCTAAAGAAGTATGGGCTGGATGAATGGGCTGTAAGGTGGATTGAAAAGTGGCTGGAGCATCAGGCTTAGATGGTAGTAATCAATGGCTCAATGTCTAGTTGGCAGCCGCTATCAAGTGGAGGGGTTGGTGCTGGGGCCAGTTTTGTTCAATGTCTTCATCAATGAGCTGAAGATGGCACAGAGTGCACTCTCAGCAAGTTTGCAGATGACACCAAGTTGGGGGGAGTACTAGATACGCTGAAGGGTAGGGCTAGGATTCAGAGTGACCTAGACAAATTAGAGGATTGGGCCAAAAGGAATCTCTCGAACTTCAACAAGGACAAGGGCAAAGTCCTGCCCTTAGGACAGAACAATCCCATGCACCAATACAGGCTGGGGACTGACTGCCTGGGCAGCAGCTCTGCAGAAAAGGACCTGGGGGTCACAGTGGACAATAAGCTGAATATGAGCCAGCAGTGTGCTCTAGTTGCCAAGAAGACTAGTGGCATACTGGGCTGCATTGGAAGGAGTGCTGCCAGCAGGTCAAGGGAAGTGATTATTCCCCTCTATACAGCACTGGTGAGGCCACATCTGCAGTACTGTGTTCAGTTTTGGGCCCCCCACTACAGAAAGGATGTGGACAAATTGAAGAGAGTCCAGCAGAGGATGACAAAAATGGTGAGGGGCCGGGGGGACATGACTTATGAAGAAAGACTGAGGGAACTGAGCTTATTTAATCTAGAGAAGAGGAGACAGAGCGGACTTAATAGCAGCCTTCAACTACCTGAAGAGAGGTTCAAAAGAGGATGGAGCTGGACTGTTCTCAGTGGAGGCAGATGACAGAACAAGGAGCAACGGTTTCAAGTTGCAGCCAGGGAAGTTTAGGTTAGATATTAGGAAGAATTTTGTTACAAGGAAGGTAGTAAAACATTGGAACAGGTCCCCCAGAGAGGTTGTGGACTCTCCATCGTTGGAGGTTTTTAAGACCCGGCTAGACAAAGCCTTGGCTGGGATGGTCTAGTTGGGGATGGTCCTGCTCTGAGCAGGGGGTTGGACTAGACCTCTTGAGGTCCCTTGCAACCCTAATTTTCTATAATTCTCTGACTTTAGAATTTTCTCCACATTTAATCACGCTTTACCGTAATATAATTCATGTTACTGTTTACACATCAAATAGAATAAATTGGCATGTGTGTACACATCTGAGCTCTGATTTAATTGCTCTCCCATATAAATGCCATTATCTTTTATTCTTTCTAGATATTTCTCATGAGTTTGACTGAGACCTCTGACCATATTTTCATCAATATTTTAAGCTTCCCTTGACATTCATATTCCAGTGAGTGAAATAACAAACCCAACTGGCAAAAGCTGGTGGGTGGGGTGCCATTCTGTTTTATATGCAATGCTGTTTCTCCACACTGCCAGTGAGGCTATAATTATTTTTATGGGAAATACTAGCAATAAAAGGATATTATACACTGGGATTGTTTTAATGGCAAAAATCCACAATTGCTTTTTCTAGCAGCCCAATATGTTGCCATTTAAACAGATTCCTCTCCTACCTCTCACCATGCACTTCCACTGACACCTGGTGTGTCATGTTTTGCTCTTACGTGGGAACAGGTTAATAACTGTTCCAACAGTTTAGATTTTGATGTTTAGCACAGTGCTGTAAAGCCTGCCTCTGTAGGCACCAGTTGGCATTCCCCACTTTCATTACCCCAACTGGAATCTGATCACATCTGGGCCACATTGAGAGGTTCTTTAATGAGAAACTCCCATACACACATAAAACTCCTAGGTTTGCATAAAATCAAATGGCCTAGATTCCCCCCACAAGCACTAGCAAGAGGTGATATTTCACATTATGGCACCAGTTTCTTCCAGGTTTGTTTGGTTAGAGTTTTGTGATGTAGATGATATTTTTTTATGTAGAAGCTAAGCAATTAAGGACTTGATACTATGAGTGAATGTGTTACTCATGTGAGTAGCCCTTATGGCTTCAATGGGATCGCTCGTGTAACTCAGAAGTATTTGCTGGCACAAAGCCTAAGGCAAAAAAGGCAAGGCCAATGTACTCATTGGTTTTCTTTGTTGTTTTTTTCATGGTTGTGCCTGAGGGCCTGAGTCAAAGAACGAGCCATTTTCTGTGCTAGGTACTGTATAAAGAAGAATGAAAATGTGCTCGTGACAGGACAAGGCAGATGAATGAAACAAACAAATAGGAGGTCGAGAGGTGGAAAGATAAGGCACTGATGAAACAACATTTTGGTATAATAAGCAAAAGTCACAGCTTGTCATGCACCTAGCTGTTACCAGATGGTTGCCGTGTTTTAACTGCTGATTTATCTTTAACACTCATAACAGATTAAGGGGGTTGTCCTGTATTTAATCTGTGCATTCAGAATGACCTGGTGTTATTAGAATGGACGTTTGCTAGCATCTAACTAAACTTAGTGGAAGGACAATGGTTTATATTTTAAGAGCAGTTCAGCAAAGAAGTAAAAATGTGAGGACACTTTAACCAAGTTCCATTCTAATGTCATCTGTTCCAATAGCCAGTGGGATAAGCATGAACAAAAAAATCTCTTTCCAATGGATGTGCAGAATTTATCAGACAAATTGTAAAGTTGTGTTAGTTATAGCATCAGCCTTTGCAAGAGGAACACAGAACTACATACACTGCCTTCACCAAGTAAAGAAGTCTTTGGGTTTCATCTCACTCTTGCAAAAATGTACGTGTTCACCCCTACTTTCTGTGAAAAGAAGGCTGTTTTTACAGTTTGGTTTAATGAGGTTCCGTCTTTCATGTCTCGGTCAAAAATAATTCGAATCCATTCTGGGTTATTAGTGATCACATGTTTTGGTGACCAGTTTCCATGTGAAAAGTATTCACATCTCAAAAACACAATCAGTTCTAACATCCAGAGCATCAACCGCATAGTAAGGGCATAAACAGCCTTCACATTTCACAGAGGGGTAGCCTTATGTTGGGTTTGCAGCACAACACAAGAGCAACATGGGGAAACCTGCACTGCCACAATCTGGCACCTTTCAAAAGCAATTACATCGTATTAGGGCTCTGTGTTCAAACATGTATAAACAGCAAAGTATAGATACGAGTGAATAATACACATTATAATAATACATTATATACAACTGGCACTGCTGGGTACACAATGTAGCTAAAAGCTAGTTACCTAAATTTTACCATTTGCATCTGGAAAATATAGCTGGAAGCTAACACACTGTGAATGTATACCCACATTCACACCAACAGACACATGGAGGTATGTACTTTGTCACCGTAATACAGAGCTTTTCTGAGGGATTAATTACTAACAAGGAGTACTGTTTATTCCACTAAGCCCATCTTGTCGTGAATCTTTGGAAGAGTGCTTTGCTTGCCATGATAAGGAATGTCCCAAGTACACGAGTGCCGGTATACTGTAAGTGTCCCAAGTACATGCGTGCTATCATACCATAACATTACTGACTTCCTCAATAAATCAGTGGGACTACTCAAGGACTGAAAGTAGGCATGTGCCTGAATGCTTTGCTACCCAGAGCCAGTGCACTTAGGGCTGTGCAAAATCCAGCCTTTAACAGACCTCCTTGCTAAAGTTACCATTTTATTCATTAAATTGTAAAAGGACCTTATAGGAATTAAGACATGCTCTTTGATCAGTCAGACATTTGGTTGAGAGACATTTACCATGAAAAAGAACATATCTTGTATGAAGTTTACATGGCTACCAGGTAAAGGTCTTTGGGATCTGTATGTCTTCCCCCCCAAAATGTGAGATTCACATGTTTGATTGGATAGCATCATGTGCTACGCAATCTGGTCCTATGGTTACACAATATTAAACTATCACAAGTGCCTGGCAAGCTTTAAACCTGTTTCACCACAGTACTTCAGCTAATCTCTTATCTACACACTTTTTAAGCTGCTACTATATCATAAGATCAAAAATACCCGTTGCATGACCTTGATCAAGTTAATATTTGAAGGCAGCAATGCAATATTACTATTAGATATGTGAATCTCTTTGAACTTGTTAAAAAAAAATTGATTGTTTTTTACCCCCGGGGTCCTCCAGACATTTAATGCAATTGTTGTATTTGAAATGAAATTTCTTTTCTTTCCTTAGTACAATTTAGAAATCCTAACAAAACCTTGACATGAGGCAACCAAGTTAATAATTTACCAAGATGAATGGGCTGCCTCAATGAATCAGGTATAATGACTCCATATCACAACGCTTTTCTGACAGCTGGTGTACGGAAGAAGTCATCTGGTTACATATCTACAGCAGGCAGAAAGCTAAGCCATACGTTATGCAGACCTTCTGAACCAAGGTAGGGATTTTTTGTGTGGATGGTTACTGTGGG